GAAGGGGAAGGAGCTGGCGCGGTAGCGGCACATCATGCACACACTCTGGTTTCCGCATTTACGAGATTCACTGGGATTTGTACTCTGATATTCTGATGGATTGTATGGCTTGGCTTTTTGTTATTATGTGATCAAACAATGTTTTTAATTGTTAATGTTTTCTAAAGTAATGTTTACAACAAAATTTTCGAACGTGAAAATTGGGACGTTACACATAACCATTACAATTGGTTAATGTCTTTCAATAACCATTGGGTAGCGGTTAATATTGGTTTTGGATAACGGTTTTAGTCGATTAATGGTTATAGTTAATGGTTAATATTGGTTAACCATAATGGTCAAAGATGACATAAAATTAAAAATACTTTTCTATAAAAATTAAAAAATATAAAGTCCATTGTTATAAAAAGTGAATGATTATGTATATATAATTGTATTGTAGAAGATTACTTATCATATCTAATTCTAGATAATTACCCTTTGAATTTTTAATTCTTAATATAATTACATATAATATACTCCTTACGCATGATATTTATTATTCACTTTTGACTTTTAAATTATTTATTGTTCAACTTTAACCTTAAATATTTATATTCATGTTATAAATTACTTGATAAAACTTATAAAAATGAAAAGACATTTAAAACACAATTCATGCATATATTTTGCATCAAGTATTATATATAAAAAACAAAAATAACTAAGATTAAAGTTGAAATATAAAAACTTCAAAAGTAAAAAGTGGACCATAAAAATGAGATGGAGAGAGGGGGTATTTAATATTATATTATAATAAAAATATTTATTAATATTGCTGGTTGATTCGGTTCGGTTCGGTTAATAGTGGTTCGGTTTTAGATGAAAACCATAACCGAACCATATGTATTCGATTAATCAAAATTAAAAACCGCACCATAGATTTTAGTAATGGTTTGGTTAAAATGGTTCAATTATATTGGTTAATTTGGTTATGGTTCGGTTTTTCGGTTAATATGCTCACCCCTACCAAGGCCCAATCCTTAAACTTAAGTCCAAATAGCAAGCCCAACACAAGGGCCCAAGATATATATATATATATATATATATATATATATATATATATATATATATATATATATATATATATATATATATATATTCCTCTTATCCAAAATCTCTAGTACAACAAGCCTAACATCCAAGCCCAATATGAGATTTAGCCCAAAAAGCCCACAGCGAGATTACGCGGGGCGTACCTCCCTTGGTACGCTCAGCGTACACACGACTCCTGATCGGGGACACTAGATCAGTACGCAGGGCGTACTAGGATTACGCTGGGCGTACGTCTCATGCTTGTTTTTTCCACTCTCTTGGTCTTAACTCGTTAAGACCATAGTTATACTCTCAGTTCTAGACTCCTTTAAGTCTCATACTCCATAAAGTTCGTGAATTTAAGCCTTTACATGGCTGAGAAAGTCCCAAACCCAAATACTCTCACTCTTTACTCCCAGAAATGCTCATATCCCATGCATGGGGTGGTTTTGACGTCCAATATCCTTTTTTTATGAGTCCACTCCACTAGAAACGCTTAAAGGGACAGATATAAGGCTCTGGAGTTCAACAACTCATAAAGCTTCAAGCTTTGGGACCAAAAACCCTAAAATGGACCATATTATGCACAAATCAAAAAGGATGAGAAAGCTCTAAGTTTTATACCTTCAAATGATGCTCCAACCATAGAAAAGCTCAGATCCAAAGCCTGGACTCCAACTCTATTCTCTTCAATGCTCCTTCTTCACTCAAAGTATCCCACAAGAACACTTAGAAGCTCACAAATGGACACTCAAGCTAAAGGAACGGAAATTAGGGTTTTGAGAGGGTTGAAGACTGGAAATGGTGGCCAGAAATGAGGCCATCATGCTCCTTAAATAGGGACACACCCCTTAAATAGGGTTTTCACCCTGAGCCTAGTACGCCCAATGTACTAGGTAGCCTCCGCGTCCAAATCACACACATGAGTACGCTGAGCGTACACACGCATACGCCCCGCGTACTCAGCTGCCACCTTTCCTCAAATAAGGGACCAAACTTGCCAAAACTTCAAACTATCATAGCTTCTTCGTTATAAGTCCGTTTCCAACGAATCCTCACATCCACGGAGAGATGGCGAGAAGCCCTACGCTTCTAGTAACTCGTCGCAGCCTCAAGGCTTTCTCATGCTCGAGTTGCAACCCACGAACCCTAAATCACAGACGATCCAAAACAGGATGTTACCCGCATAAAATTAAAAAAAATTAAGGATTTTTATGTCAATAAGCCTAATGGAATGAATCATTACATTCCATTGACAAATTCTTTTTGATCAAATCATTCAAATATATTGTTTATTATTAATAAAAGAAACTAAATTAAATAAAATTTGATAAATAAAAGATAAGAATGTTATTTTATAAAAATAAATTTAATTATATAAATAAAATTGTTAAATAATTTACATAAAAATATTAAATTTTGTTAAAAATACATATTATATATATTAAAAATAGTTTAAAAAAATAATTGTCAATGATATAAAAAAATGTTACAAAATAAAAAACTAGATACCATACAATTTTAAGATATAACAAGGAAAACTCTTGTTTATTTTTTCAAAATAAAAACAATAATTTATATGATGCTTTGAAAAATTAAAAAAGATTAATATTTATTGAAAATTATATGAATATAAGCAATTTATAATCTCCCTATCTAATAAAAGAATAGTTTTATTCTCCTCTTGACATGTGCCATCTTATTAAGCCTCTTAATTAATGCATATTTTGTTCTCATTTTGCCATGTGTCATCATATTATATCTCCTAATTAATACGTAACATTTGTAAACCTATTGATTTTTCATTTCAAATTTTAAATTTTAAATTTCCCACTCTAATTGCATTAAATTAATAACATTAGAATAAAAATAAAAATAAACTTAATATAAATTATAAAGTGATATAATTTTACATATTTATTTAAACTAAAAAAAATCTCTTAATTAATAATTTATTTAAAGTAATTGATTAATAATTTTTGGTTTTTATTTTAAAAGTTTAATTAATTATATAACCGTGGTTCTCACGGGTTATAAACTAGTTATAACATATATATCATTTCATTCCTGATTGAATGGAAAAGAGAATACCCCTCCCTAATAGAATGAAAATCATCCCGGGAATAGGAATTATATTTCGTGAGGAATGCTAAATTTCATTCCTTCGTGGCAACCAAACATTTTAGTATTATTATTATTCTACAATAATGATTTATTTTATTTCTTCGATTACACATACCAAACAATGTCTTATAGTTTTACATTTTATGTGTCAGATATACTTTTTTGGCTGAGATACATTTAAAATACAGCTAGTGTTATGCATTTAACCTTTCACATAGGTTGCTTCATATCGATGTGACTTTTAGATAGTACGTTTTACAATTATTTTTCCATGACATCGATATAACAACTTAAGATAAATGAAAGGATATTATGGGGAAGGATTTAAACCCCCTGACCTCTTCTCTCCACAAGACATATTTAACATGTTTTTTAAGGGTTAATATAATAAAAGACATTACATATTGTGTTTTTTTCTTTTTCAGATTAAATCTTAACTTTTTTTAGGGTTTAGGTCATTTTTGGTCACTTAACTTTTGGTTTTGTACTCATTTGGTCACTTAACTCTTTTTAAGTTTTAAAAGGTCGTCAAACTTTTGGCTTGGTGCTCATTTAGTCACTTAAGTTTTAGTTTGGTCACTTAACTTTTAGATTTGTACTCATTTAGTCATCTAACTTTTAAAATTGTACTCATTTAGTCACTAAACTTTTTGAAAAAATTTAAAAGTTTAGTGACTAAATGAGCAAAGTTTTAAAAGTTAGGTGACTACGTGTGATCAAACCAAAATTTAAGTGATTAAATGAGCACAAAGTCAAAAGTTTGATGACCTTTTAAAACTTAAAAATAGTTAAGTGACCAAATGAGTACAAAACCAAAAGTTAAGTGACCAAAATAACTTAAACCTTTTTTTAAATTACCTTATATTTTTTTACTTTGGCAATTTTTGGCACTTTTTCTGAAGGAATTTTTTTTAAAAAAAATAAGAATAAAAAAATGTGAAGGTTCTTTTTGGGGAAAAAAGAGTTATTTTGGAAAGAAAGGTCTAGGTTTTCTTCCCAAAAAAATGAGAAGTTAGATTGTTTTTTCGGAAAAAAAAATACAAGCCTTTAATATATAGTAAAGTTTAAGTTTAATGAGGAAAAAAAGTATTTTATAGTTTTAACATTTTTTTCCCAAAATTCTGTTATATAAACGTTCTATAAACTTCTATAAAAATTAAGTTTGTAAAATAATGAATCTGGTAGATCTCGACAATTTGATATCATAATTAGATGCCTTTGATTTAGGATGTGTTTGGTAAAAGTAGCTGTTATCTGGAAGCGGGTAGCGAAAAACTATAACTTTGATTTGAAATATATAAAATTACATAAAATGACAGTCAATTAAAAATAAATAAATATATAAATATATTTTTAAGGATAATTATTGAAATTGATTTCAAAAGCTCAGTAGCTTTTTGTTAAACGCTACATGAAATAGCTTTTAGATTTGAAGTGTTTTGTTTAAACTAAAAGTTAAACGCTCGTACTACCAAACGATGTTTTTTCTTTAAACTAGAGCGTTTTTATCAGAAGCTAAAAGTTAAAAAGCTCCGTGCCAAACATACCCTTAGTCTAATACCCTCTTATTGATATTAAACTCAATCAAGTTGTGCCTCAAGAAACAACTATCAAATAGTCGTATAAAAAGTATAAAATAAGTCTGTAATGTTTGTGCGATAACATCCCAACCCACCAATCATGCCAAAACACAAAGCACTAGACTTCAGATTTAAATGGTAAAAAACCGATGAAGTGTATTTCAAAAAAGTGGTCAAAGTGTTGTGTGTTTTCTTGCAAATAACCTTGGCAAAACAGTAAAAGGACATTTTAATCAATTCGACCGAACCCACAAAACAAAATGATTCATCAATAAAACTAAGCAACTAATACCACAACTCAAAGAAACAGAGTGCAATGCCATTAATATGAAGATTAAACTTAAACACACACAAACACACAGGCTCCATGAAACAACTTCAAACCACATTTACAGTCCAACCATCCACACAGCAGCAAACAAAGTGAGCAAAATACAGTAAAAAGTAAAACACGTTTTGTAGTAGTAGTAGTACAAGATGATAGCAACACAAAGTCCTTAAAGAATTGAAATTGATTTCTAGCAGTCGCATCCTGATGCCCTCTGTTGATTGCTGCTTCCTACATCAATCGTATCCGGCAAGTATCTTCATTCACAAAAACACCCACCCAAACTTAGAACAGAATACATAATATAATATTTAACCCATTTACGTTTAAATGGGTAAAGTAAAAGAGATGGATGATTTTAAAAGTGAAAACTTACATTTCTTCCTCTTCTCCACTCTTCAATGCATTCTTAGCAATGACTTGAAAGGCCTCTTCAACATTGATCCCTTCCTTGGCCGATGTCTCAAAATATGGAATGTTTCCTTTTGAGGCACACCAAGCCCGTGCCTTTTTCTCTGAAACCTGCATAACCATTATTTTAAATTTCAGATTTTTTTAATTTTTTTTTCCCACTGAAAAAACATACCACTCTGCTGTTGCCACCATCCACATCAACTTTGTTTCCAAGAACTACAAACGGGAAATTTTCAGGATCCGAAGGGCTAGCCTGCAACCCATTTTATCCAATCAACTATTATTATTATTATTATTATTATTATTATTACTATAATAATCATAACTAAATAATATTCATGTTAGAATACCTGAATAAGGAATTCCTCCCTCCAGTTGTTGAGATCATCAAATGACTTCTGAACATTCACATCATACACAAGAACACAGCAATCTGCACCACGATAAAAAGCAACTCCAAGGCTCTGAAATCTTTCCTGTCCAGCTGTATCCCAGATCTGCAACAATCACTACATATCAAATTACAGATTTGGTCCTCCGACTTGTGGTTTATGGACATTCTTAGCACCCTTTGGTAAATGAGCATCAGTAACAACCAACCTGTAGAGTGAAGAGCCTATCCTCAAATTCAACTTCTTTTGTCAAGAAATCGGCTCCTATTGTTGCCTTGTATTGATTGCTAAACTTCTTGTTCACATATCTAAAGTTAAACATTAAGGGCACACAATAATAATCCCTAATAATGGCTTGGGTGATCTTCAATGATCATATAAGGTTGATGTAAATGTAAAGTTACCCAATTATCTCTATAAAACATTTTAATTGATTATATAATTGTTAGATTACAATACTTCGAGTTGCAATAATCAAATTTAAAATACATTTTCTTGCATGCCACATATCACATGAGCTTCATGTATTCTAAAATTTCAACTTGTTGGAGTTTTAGAGACATGAAAGATGTGATTGTGGATCCTATTTGATTGTTACACCCGAAGACTAGGATAAATGTGGGTGAATGGTGAAAAAGAATAAACCCTAACAAATTTAAGTTATACAGGATACTGATTCATCAACGATGTCTTGCCTACCCTGCATCACATAAAACAACAAATTGGGAAGCAAGTCAGGGGATTAAATCTATGCAAATTTTACACGGATATACATGAAAAGAGATGAGTGCATCAGCATACGCAATCTGAATACCAATATTTAGGAAGCTGAGAAGTTAGATCAGAAACGAATTGTCAAAAACACAGATTTTATGATAGTTTACACTTGGAGATCGCGATTTATATCAAGTTGTTTCTCCTATAGTAATCGATAATACATCCACTCATATGAAATTGGATCCGAATACTCCCTAAACCTAAATCGATTATTTCAATTCGAAATTCGAACTTCGTGATTTAGAACTAAACCATACAAAAATTGTTCATCAAACAGTCAATAACCAATTCGAACAACACAAGGATCAAATCGAACTTTTCCATTTGACAACATAATAATCGAGATCAGCTTCAAGTGAGAAAGATTTCCAGCTCGAAACAAGTACAAAACCCCAAAATAAACCCAGATTTAACAAAAACAACAACTGACCCGCTGTCCCCGAGGATGATGACTTTGAGAAGCGTTCTTCTTCTTGAAGGCATCGTAATAGGATCGACCCGGATGGGGGAAAGGATGTATAAATCGAATTGAAGTGAAACTTGTGATTGAAATAAAATCAGAAGCAAATTGTAAGAAGAATCTTGAGCTAATTCTGGTAGTCAAGAACCCAGTTGGCAACGTGAAGGTTCTTGATCTTTTTGGCCGTCTGGACTCTGGTGTACGGATCGATCGATCAACCCAAGTCCTTGCTTTCTTTAATTTATGAATTAGTGGACGGACCTTTCTAGTCTTTGGGCTAGAAAATTACCTTTTTTCCGGTTCAAAAAAAAAAAAAAAAAAACCTTTTTAAGTGTAACTTTTAAATCAATTATTACAAATTAAATATACGTTCACATATTCAAGTCATTTAATTTTTTGGTCTTGTAATATTATATTTTTATTAATTTTATTTAATGAAAATTCATTCCTTATAAATAAGTTTGTTCAAAAGCTAAAGACTAAAGTTTAGACGATATTTATCGGCGATATTTGTGTCGAGTTAATGATGTATTTTGTTGATAAAGGCATTTAATTCTTTATGAATATAATAAAAAGACAAACGATAACTTTAAAATGATTCTTATTTCTTATTTTTTATGTCTATAAATGTTCTTACCCAAATAACCATTTTATCATAAAATAACCTTAGGTAACTGCAAAATACATAAATAGTTGTGGACAATTTTACTAACAAAAAAAACTTCAAAACCAGTGGCGGACACAAAAGGTTTTAGTAGGAGTGGTACTAAAAAAAAATTTCCGAAAAAAATTTAAATTAATAGTGGCACTCGTATTTTTAAACCAATACACCTAATAGAAAAAATATTTTTAAAAACACTACATGTCGGAATCGGAACAGTGGCCCGGGACTCCCCGGGCACCACTAAGGTCTGCCACAGTTCAAAACTCGGTTTTGAAGTTTTCAGCAATTGGGATAGGATTTTTGACATAAAACTCCCAATTTTACAAAAAAAAAAAAAAAGAAGTTAGGCCCAAAGTCGTTTTTTTTTTTTTTTTTTTTTTTTGCTACAGATGCCTCAAATACCGAATACTTTGTTCGATTTTGCCATTTACCATAATTTTACCTTTTATGATTGGTAGCCCACCTGATCTTCTTCTTAATATAAAGCAATCACCATCACATGTGTGTAGCCGGTCACCACCACCATTAGCAGCCGTCTCCGACGGTCACCATCTTCATCACCCTCTCTGCTTTCACTACCATCCCCTCGAATGAACCCCTAGCCGCCTCTATTGGAAGAATAAATCCATTGAAAGAAGAATTTTGGTATTTGTTTGTGTTTCTTTCTCAGGTATGTAACAAACTAGTGGAGTGCACCCACTTCTTGCCTTTTTCGTTTCACACCCTTCATCTTTTCTTTATTATTCGAATTGTACCACACTCTCTTCGATTCATATTAAAGGGTTTGTGGTGATAGCGATAAATGTTTGTGTGCATGAACAGGGCAGGAAGAAGATGGTGGTAGTTGGAATGTCGATTATTGAAGATTATGGAAATGGGTAAACGGTGGTTGTAATGGATGTTAAGGGTGGTGTCAAGGTGTTTGTGTGGTGGCTTCTGGTATTGGGTTGTGGTTTTTAAGAGGGTGTTGGAAGGTATCGGATGTAGGGATGTTAATAGTGATTTACGAATGGTAAAGGTTAGGCTGTAATGGTGGGTGTGAGGGTAAAGAAGACGATGGCTGATTATGGAGGTGATGAAGGATTTATGTAATGGAGGGATAAGGGTGGCGTTAGGTGGTGGTAGATGATGGCGGTGGTGTTGGTGGTTTGTGTATGGTAGATGGTAGTGGCAAATTATGGTGGTGGAGATGATATGTAAATATGAGGGTTTCTATGACAATGGTGATTTGCCCGATAAAAGTTAGCTAAAGGGCAAAAATAAACCAATTTTCCGGTATGTTTGGATATTAACGAACCAAAAAAAATACACTTATGATCGAACATTGTGTGAAAATTGGGGGCTTTTATGTCAAAAACTCATTGGGATATACATTTTCAAAATATCTTGCTAATATTTTGATATTTAGAGAGAAAAAGATTTGTGCAACCTTAGTTTCAATATTTTAATTGCGTAATATGTTATTTGCTTTTGGGCAAATGCTATAAAAACCTTTAAGTTTTAAGATTTTTATTGGTTTTGTCTAAAGTTAAATTTTATATTTGTTTTTACCTTTTTACACGTAATAACAGATTTTTCCAAGTTACCATTATGTTAACTTCACAAAAAAAAAAAAAATTTACTCTTAAGTTTATAAACTTTTTACGCTTTTAACCTAAGTATTTTTTTTCATATTATATGTATTCATGTAGAAAAATCATATTTATATACGAAAAAAATGTTTAATTAAATATTATATTTACGATCTTTATATATATATATATATATATATATATATATATATATATATATATATATATATATATATATATAATGTTTTTTTGCATGGTTATACAATTTAAAATGTAAAAAATACATTTTTAGAATTATGAATACGTATTTGATAGATATAGTTTTCAGAAGTATAAATAAATATTTTTACATTTTTAGAAGTATTAATATGTATATATACTTCTAAAAATATATTTAAATAAAATATAAAAATAAAGATTTACACTTCTAAAAATATATGTATATACTTATGAAAACATAAAAATAAATACGTGCACTTCTAAAATACATATTAATATTTCTAAAAGATATATTTGTACATCTAAAACCATATATATATATATATATATATATATATATATATATATATATATATATATAGGGCTACGTTATAATGTGAATGAACATCTATTGTGCGAACCTGTGTTGACAATGTTTATTCGTGAGAATGACTAAGAGAATATGTTGTTTGGTAATGTAAATACATCAACCTCACACAACTATCGTCGTTATCATGCATTCTCAGTAATTCTTATTCATTTTTGTTCATATGCATTGTTTTTCACACATTTTCATTCTTACAAAATATGATTATCAATAACACATTCTAACATAACAGAATCATAAAAAAAAAAAATTAAAATAATAAAAAAAAATCTATAATACCCTTATAGACTATTTAATTAGTGAGAATTTGTGATAATGACAATAGTTATGTGAGGTTGAACATATTCAGATTACCAAACAACATATTTTTTTAGTCATTCTCACAAAATAGCACTATAATAGCATTGTCCACACAACCGCACAATAGATGTTTATCTATATTTGAACCTAGCATTATATATATATATATATATATATATATATATATATATATATATATATATATATATATATATATATATATATATAAGTAGGATCGTGTAAGAACTTCAAAATTGGTATGAACCACGAGGACTAATCTTGCCATTTAATTTGCAAAATTGGATGGCTATGGTTAATCATTTATTTTCTTTTTTCTTTTAATTTCAAAATGGAATATTTTGTAATTAATTCAAAATATTTGAAAATTTCAAGAAAATGGTTAAAGGCTATGGGTTAAAAGCTTCAAAGGATAAATTTTGGAAGATGATTCAGATCACTTGGACATGCTTATACTCGCAACAACGCTCTTTCACGCCCCCTTTAATGGGTTTTAATACAAAATATAATTAGTTTTTCATATAACCGGCAATGTAAGTCTTTATAATAACAAGTTTACTTTTAGTTTCTAACAAAATCAAACCATCAAGGTTCCATTCATAGAGGTTACAATGAAATAAAAATAACCAAATAGTTTTTAGAATGAAAACCTTTGAAGCCTTTAAACCCACTTGGTTTTAGGGTGTTGATGAAGATGACAAAAGTTCAAGAATAGAATTTCTCTATATGTATCCTCCATCAAGAGTAAGGCACTTGGAATGCTAGTTTCTTCTTGTATAAAGTACTTCTTAATCCTTTAAGTGCTTAACTCAAATAAGCACTAAAGGTGTAGCATCCATAAAAATCATGAAAATTTAAAACTTTTTCACACATCCAAAAACCATTATTTATTACAAAATGTTTTCAAAATAGTTTCATATCAGAGTATCCCATAAATCAAAAACATAAAATGTGAGGAGGTGCACGATCAAGGTAATGACTTTTTAATGAATGTCAAAACGAAGTCGATGTTGGATCTACACTCTCCTTCTCGTTCCAAACTTCTCAATCTTTAAGTTTCTTCAAGGAATGCACTAAATACACACTTTTAGCCTCACTCACACTCAAAATAGGAGGTTAGCTCGATTAGGGTTTGTTTCTGTACGTGAAAGGTGGTAATGAGGATGGAGGGAGGACTTAAGGTCCTTTAAATAGGGTGCAAACCCTAAAAATTAGGGTTTTCATGACCAGCTTCAACTCGTTGAGTTGGGTCCTCCAACTTGTCGAGTAGGTTCTAAAATCAACGCGGCTTTATCAGTTTCTGCACGACGAGTTGGGGCATCTAACTCATCGAATAGGTCTATAATTATGAATATAAAAGCTTTAAAATTTACACATAGGAGTCGGGATGTTACAATTCTCCCCCACTTGAACTATACCTCATCCTCGAAGTCTGTTGCTATGAGCATATTCGGGTAATGCTCCCGCATCTCAGCCTCCGACTCCCAAGTCCACTCAGATCCCCTCTGATGCTCCCATTGTACCTTTACCAAAGGTACCTCCTTGTTCTTTGGAACCTTCACTCTCCTTTCCAGAACGGCCACTGGATTCTCCATGGAATTTAGGCGCTCATCAACCTGAATATCATCTAATGACACCACTGCCTCCTCATCTGATATGCACTTTCGCAATTGCGAGACGTGAAAAGTGTTGTGAATCTGACTGAGCTCCTCCGGCAGATCTAGTCTATATGCCACCGTGCCAACCCTAGCAATAACCCGAAAAGGTTCAATGTATCGGTGACCCAACAGCGAATGGTGAGACCTTCAATAGTACCATGTCACCAACCTAAAACTACAACTCAAACCAGCGTCGATCGACGCAACTCTTCTGCCGACTCTGAGCGGTTTGCAAATGTTTTCTGATCTGTTGAATCTGCTCGGTAGTCTGTAGAAGTACCTCGGTCCGACGCATCACCCTGTGTCCGACCTCACCCCAACAGACTGGGGTGCGACGTAAAGGTGTCAAAAAAACCCGAACCCGATTAACCTGACCCGACCCGAACCCGAATAAGGTAATTAGGGTCGGGTTTAATATGGTCAGAACTCTTAATCGGGTTATTCGGGTTAACCCGACTAACCCGAATTATTATTAGGGTCGGGTTTAGGGTTTATTTTTCAAAACAATTCGGGTTTCGGGTCAACCCGATTAAGAATTTATTTCCAAAACTTTTTTTACTGCCTTAAATGATATGAATTCAAGATCCCTTGAGATTTTACAACTAATACATATTTCTTATTTAAACAAACCAGATTGTAAAATTACTATGTATAGAGATGTATAAAATGACATAATTTTCCTTTCTTCTTAGTGCAGTAAGGTTGAGTTGTAACAGTTTTACGAATTTTATTTAGTGTTTACATTACTAATATGGTAAAAGAAACTCCAAAAATTCATATCGTATACCAACTTTACATTTTAAGTCCCTATACATGTGGATTATATATTAAAATGGCACAACATAAATTCATCTTACATTTCAACTTCAACCCGATTAACCCGACCCTACAAACCCGAAACCCGGTTAACCCGAACCAACTAACCCGTACCTTATTAGGGTCGGGTTTCGGGTGAATATTTTTTCTAGAAAAACCCGACTAACCCGACCCGTTTAACCTAAAACCCGATCGAGTTAAACCGATTAACAGCCCTAGTGCGACGTCTTTATCCATACAATAGCTCAAATGGTGGAGCACCAATATTGGAATGAAAGATGTTGTTGTAGGAGAACTCCACAAGCGGTAAGTAGGAGTCCTAGCTCCCACCAAAGTCTATAACGCAGGCCCACAACATATCATCGAGGGTTTGTATGATCCGCTCGCTCTGACGGTCGGTCTACGGATGATAAGATGTACTGAAATGCAGCCTCGTGCCCAGTTCCTCGTGGAGCTTTTTCTAGAAACGGGAGGTGAATCAAACATCACAGTCTGAGACAATGGAGACCGATACCCCATGGGAAGTAACGATCTCGCGAATATACATATCGAACAGCTTATAGGCCAATGAGCTCTCCCAAATGGGTAGAAAATGGCCACTCTTTGTGAATCGATCCATGATGACCCATATATCATCATATCCCTTCGTCGTTCTTGGCAACTTGGTGATAAAGTCCATCGTGATTTGTTCCTATTTCCACATGGAAACCTCCAGAGACTGCAGCTTGCCATGCGGCCTTTAATGCTCGGCCTTGACCATTTTGCAGA